CCGTTCAGACCTTGATTAGCTTGTTCAGGTGTGTTTGATTAGGGTTGAAGCAAAACTCTGCAGGGCTGCGGCTCTCCAGGACCGACGTTCGCCACCCCTGACATAAAGCATCATTCACATGAGATTTGCCATTAGTACATATGATTTTATGAGTATATTTATGCAGGTGAAGTAGTGTTCATTTCAGTGGTGGACGAAGTACACAAATCGCGGGGAATATGAACATGCATGAGTTATTTTATTTAATCTGTGTTACTTTAATGTTTCGGCTTTTTTCTACCTAAAACATAGAGACACTGATGTTGATGTGTCTGCATTCAATAATTTCAGTGGGCTTAAACAGATCACCCTTACAGCAGATTTAGTTCACAAACAACTGACACCTTTGACCTAAATATGATTTTCAGTTACAATAATTAATCCTAAAATTCGACATTAGTAACTTACTTTTAACAGCATCAGACGCGCGCGCTCACAAGATCTCCTGGTTTTTGTGAATTCAGTTCACTGGAGACTCGCACTAAACGGATCATTTGAATCAGTGAGCTGTCGACTCGAGAACAGCTGCAATCAGATCATTCCAATTCGTGAATGAATCGTTTGGTGCGATTTGCGAACCGATTTAACAGCTTCATTGAAAAGAATTAGTTTGTTCTTGAATCAGACACCGCTTCTGCGTCTAGGAGCATGTGATATATTATAAGGAGTAACGATATGTTTTATGAAATGTAGTGAAGTAAAAAGTACGATCTTATGCTTCGGAATGTTGTGAAGTAAAAGTAAAAGTTACTCAAAATAAAACTACTCCAGTAAAGTACAGATACTTGAAAAATGTACTTAAGTACAGTAACGTAGTAAAGCTACTCCGTTACTGTCCACCACTGGTTAATTTTGTCAGCTATTTTCAATTTTAGTCTTAGTCACATGTTAAATATCCTTGTTAGTTTTTATCATATTTAGTCAACCTTATCCTATTTAGTTTTAGTCAACTAAAAGTCTCAACATTTTAGTCTAGCTTTAGTTGAAGAAAACCTGAAGTATGTTAGTCTAGTTTTAATCAATGAAAACTTGACATTTTAGCAATAAGATTATTAATTAACCATACAGCAGTGTTCATTTTTGCAGCCATTTTTAATTTAGTCTTAGTCTTACTCAAATGTACATATTTATCATATTTAGTCAACCTTGTCCTGTTTTTGTTCAGTCAAGTTTAACTCAATGAAATGTCTGAGCATTTTAGTCAATTAAATCTTAGTCACATTTTCGTCGTGCTGTATTATGGTTAAACTGATAAAAATTAATTTAGCTCAAAATTATAATCGTAATGATTGTTGTCATTTGAGAAATGTACTTTTGCATTTCAGGTATTGCACTTTATCCAGTAAACACAAATCAATAGAATGTGGACTCATACATGGTGTATTTTCCCTCATCTAGTGTACTGGACTGTATTTTATTATATAAATTAATATCAAAGACTTATGCACTCTCTCTGTCTACATTATGAACACTGGTAAAACAATTGAAAAATATTATAACAGTGAAATTCCATGTTGATATAGTCATAGTTATCGTTTACTGACTTTATTGTTGTCTAGTCTTCGTCTCGTCTTAGTCATGGTAAAAAAGCTCGTCAACGAACATTTTTCGTCATAGTTTTCGTTAACAAAATTAACACTAGGGTGAAGTTAGACATACATATAATTCAGTAGAGGGCTGCGGGAGCGGGCGGTTTTTACCTTTGCTTTGGGTGGTCAAAAAATATAGTGTGGGTCCCGCGATTTGGCACATAACAAGAATGCTGGAGTTCCATAAACACTAGGCTTGCTGTGGTAGTTAATGTTACATAGTGTTTGGTCATACACCGATTACATTACTGGCCCACCGCAGCACAGCAACCACTGTCGTTCTGCTTTTTATAGAAATAAAATCATTTAGTTCAGATAACGTACGCTACTATTCTAAACTGAAAGCATCTGTTCTGCTCCATACGCGAGCTGCAGGAGTGAGATTGGACTGATCGCGGGTGGAGAGTAAGAAGAGACGCCTGACAGATCCTGAGCTCACTGACCAATCTCTGGGCTCATATTCACAAAACATTTTATCTTACCACGAAGAGTTCTCTTAAATAACAGTACAAGTTTTTAGCTAAGAGTTTTCTAAACGTGTACTAAGGAATAGAGAGAAGTCTTAAGCTCAGAGTAAGGGGGCGGGGCTGACCTCGTTGCTATGGATGATGCTTATTAACTATACATACAGTGATTGGCTGATAGTCTATATCAGAGATTTATTCATGGAAATATTGTAGAGCACAAATAAATAAAGGTTTAAAAATAAAAAAGGTTAATTGCCACATTCAAATAAAGATTTTAAGAAGCAGGCTAAGTGTCACTAATTAAACAAGTATATGTTCAGCTAATTATCAGCCTCTTACATATGTGCTTCTCAAAAACAATGAGCGGATATGCATATAACCAGCCTTTTAATTAACAGAGTAGAATAATCATGGCTGATATTAATACATGCAAACGTAACAAAACAAAACAAAAACAAACTGGATGTTCCTTCTTGCCCAACTGGTTAATGAAAACAAGGATATAATCAAAGGAAAATCTGGAGTTGGGATAACCTCCAAAACCAAAGATACTTTTTAAAAGCTTGTTACCATCAAATGTTTCTAAGATGTATATGTTCTGAGGCAAATAGTTTTATTTGGTCTTAGTGACTTAGGACTCCTCTTCACTGCTCCTAACGTTTCACAGATTTAGGAGCTAGTTTTAGTGCTAAGACACTTTGTGAAATACTCTTAGAGCAAAAATTTAGTAGTCCTAAATTTAGGATTGACACACTTATTATTTTTAAGATTTTCTCCTAAATCTGCGAGTTATGAGCTACTTTTAGCCTTAAGATGTTTTGTGAAGATGTGCTGTTCAGATCTAGAAGTGCTCTTCATTAATTGCAAGCCGTTCTATTCGCCGCGGGAGTTTTGCTCGTTCATTCTCGTGAGTGTGTACATTCCTCCGCAAGCACACGTGAGCTCCGCTTTACAGAAACTCGCTGATCTGATCACAGACACAGAACAACAACACCCGGACTCTGTTTTAATCATTCTCGGGGACTTTAATAAAGCCAATCTCTCCCGTGAACTGCCAAAATACAGACAGCACATCACATGTCCCACCAGAGACAGTAATATATTGGATCACTGTTACACCACAATAAAGAATGCATATCACTCTGTCCCACGAGCAGCTTTGGGGCTCTCTGATCACTGCTTGGTTCATCTTGGTCTGAGAATTCAAGAGGTGAAGTTCAGATTTTGCATCGTGTAACCACTGATTAAGTTTGTCAGCATTAAAAGGGGAGCTGTAGTGGATCTTCAGGATGTCTTCCAGTGACTGCTGCTCCTCCCCTCCTCCTCGAATAGCAGGCAAGACTCTGGCCAATGCTTTCTGGAGCACTGTCTTGTAGATACTAAATGAGTCCTGAAATGAGTGCAGCCTGTCTTCAAGGTCACTAAAAGCATTTACCATTGTTATTCTGGACAGGTCGTTGCATGTCCTCTGTACCTCTCCCAGCTCCTCCATTATATCTTCAGTGTTGGAAACCAGATTTGTGCTGATTTCTCTCTCCAACTTAGCAGCTTTTATGTCCAATAAATGAAGAGGATATAGCCAAACTTTTAATGGAACTGCATTCTGTGGATTCTCCTTCAGCACAGTTGGGAGCCGCTTGTACAAATTCAGGGCTTCCGTGTATGTGGTAGGGTTCTGCTCAAGATGGAAGTCACCATGAAATATGCAGGTGATATTCTCAGCGATTTTCTTTTCATCTTCTGTCATATTTACTGATCCTTCTCCCTCAATAGAAAATCCAGGAAGCTTCCGGACCATGACATGCAGTTTTCCCTCGATCTCTTGCTTTTTTTCATCTTTTGAAGACATCTGATCAAACACCATGAAGGCCTGAGCTTTTCGTACAGAACAGCCGTGACCACATGAGTTGCCGTTTTCTGGTCAAACACCTGAGGGTAGGTGATCTTGCCCAGCTGGGTCATAGTGAGCTGGTCGAATCTGGAGGTTTCACTATAATACATAGTAACTCGGGACTGTTGGTTTGAGGATTTGGTGTCACACAGGTATTTGGCAGATCCTCCTACCTCCACCAGCCCCCCCAGGAAGCTGGCCTTCAGGGAAGCACTTACATCCAGGAGACTGGACTTACTAGAGAGCGAGTCAGAGCTACTGAACTTCAAATCTGTCAGGAGCTGAGGATGACTGTCTAAATCTTCACTCAATGATTTCTTATCCCACAAAGTAACACCTGAAATGAGAAGTGTTACTTTACCAGTTGTGTACAAAAATAATGTACTGTTGAAGTAAATGTGCAGCTCTTATATCTATAAGGCACTTTTAATAATAAGGCACAGATTTAACAGTTGTGTTAAGGACAGGGCTGGCCTGTGTGTTTGTGGGGCCCTAGGTGATATCATGATAATGGGTCCCATCACAGTAAAAACTGTCACAACATCAATGCTTTATGCAGTATGGCAACTGGCCAAGACACACATGGCTTGGTATGGTGCATGTTTTAACCTTTTAAAAATTCCTCAAAGTGTTAAAGTCTGTTTAAAGGCAATCCAGAGACATTATAAATGTTCGAAATGTATTGTTGAAACGTTACAAAGACCTAACACTATTAGAGGTGTGTTCAACTTGAAGCAGCGCTGCACAGACAGATCATTGTAGGACATCAAAGTAAACCTATAACTAGAGTGCATTAGCATCAGTGGTTTGCCTGCTTAATCACGAGTTACTGTCATTACTATTAGTTACTACAGCTTACAGTCTTCTTACTAGCTTTGCCTTTGTCATGTAAATGCATATTACCTGGTTGCGATAATTTACAAAACAGCTTGGTCTCCTTTTTTAAATTAAGCTGCTAGAGGGAGTCCCTTCTCTCCAAGAACTGTACTCATTCAGAGTGAGCAAAAGGGCTGGCAGAATCACTCTGGACCCCTCACATCCAGCACACTCCCTCTTTGAACTGTTGCCATCTGGTCGACGCTACAGAGCTCTGAGCACCAGAACGACCAGACACAGGAACAGTTTCTTCCCTCAGGCCATCCATCTCATGAACACTTGACAATAACTGTGGAACACACACTATTTATTCACTCATACACTTATTTATCTAACACACACACTCAGTCTACATTTCAATTTGCACATAATATACCTGTACATACAACTGTCTATTGTTATATACCTGTACATACAATTGTCGATTTGTATATTTTTATTCCTTAGTTACTTGTTCTATTTTTCTATTTTTTATTATCTGTGTTTTTGTTCTGTCACTGTCATTCTGTTACACTGTGGAGCTTCTGTCATGAAAACAAATTCCTCGTATGTGTAAACATACCTGGCAATAAAAACTCATTCTGATTCATTCATTCTGATTCTGAATACGGGCCCTGATCTTGTAAGATGAGCTCTTTTACACAGAGTGTGCATGATCGCAAAATCCAAAGTGAATTCAGAGGGCAGATGAAGACTGTGATTGTGTTTGCTGACACGGTTGGGGCAGAAGGTCACACTCAGGTGCGTCTCACTGCTTGAGAAACTCCGTGTTGCTGCAGAATCTGATGAAACGTGTAGCTATTTAAAGGCTCAGATGTGTGCGCTTTACAGCTCACCGTTACATAATTAATGCTTGTTTCATTTGATTGCTCAGCCTCCACCGATCAATAACCCGCGGTCTGCGGCAGCCTCCGTACAGAAGCCATTATGCAGCGTTTGACAGCCGAACCTGAAGAGCTCTGCACCAGCGTTACTCCACATTTAGGACCGTCTGCAGCAGAAAACCAGCGAGCCTCATTTGTCTGTTTTCCCTGAGATAAACGCCTTGTGTTTGTCAGCAGAACCCGAAGAGTGAGATACGGCAAGCTCGAAAGCGGCCCTCTCTCTACTACTGGCTCTCTAAGTGGATTTGGGTCACGGAGAGCCGCGAGGAAAAGGCCCGCGAGCGACATCAGGCTGCAGATTAAATCAGTCTTCATTTAACCCTCTGGTGGTGTTCATTTGAGAGTCACACTTGTGCAGTTCATGGTCAAAACTGACCGGCGGCCATAATCGTGTAATTTTATTTTTGTGAAATGAAATGAATATACTATATTTCATTTCAATAATATTTTTCTTCAATATTTTGCATTTTGAGTGTGTTTCATGTTACTAATTAATATCCAAATTAATAAAAAAAAAAGCTAAGTAATCACATAAAAGCTACCCTAAAAAAGTAAGTTTTAAAGATTTAAAAACACTAAGGGATTCTGCATCCCTAATCTCAGAGGGCAGGGAATTCCACAATTTAAGAGACAAAGAAGAGAAAGCCCGATCACCCATAGTTTTTAGCCGAGTAGTTTGGACAGTTAAAAGAGCAGCTTCAGAAGAGCGTAGAGCACATGTAGGGGGTTAAAAGCTTACACAAATATTGAGGAGCCAAATTATTCAAGGCCTTATAAGTGAGCATGAGAGGAAGAGGATCCTATAAGAGGAAGCCCGTGCAATTTTTCCAAGATAGGTGTGATGTGCTCCCTTGCACGGGTCCTAGTCAGAATTCTAGCAGCTGAATTTTGTACCAACTGTAATTTACTTTGGGTAGCTTTTGAAACTCCAGCCAGCAAAGCATTACAATAATCAATACGCGAAAAAACTAAAGTGTTGATTAACTTTTCAGCCACAGGAAAAGTCAACATGAGACGTAATTTGGCAATGTTTCTGAGATGAAAAAAATATGTTTTGACTGTATTACGAACATGCGGATCAAATGTTAAGTTGGCATCAATTATCACCCCCAGAATTTTTAGTTTAGTTTGAAACGGTAAAGCAGAGCCATCCACACTTAAGGTTACGGACTCTGCTTTGCGCAACTGTTGAGGTGAACCAATAAGCATCACTTCAGTCTTGTCACTGTTTAGACAGAGAACATTTTCAGACATCCATTTTTTAATCTCACTAAAACATTGAGAAAGAAAAGACAGGCATATTGACATCAGGTTTTGAATGTATGTCGATCTGAGTGTCATCGGCATAAAAGTGAAAGTTAAGACCAAGTGTTCTTAAAAGTTGGCCAAATGGAAAAATGTAAATACTAAAAAGTAAAGGGCCCAAAACTGATCCCTGGGGAACACCAGAGTGCACCATACCGACCTCAGACCTGCAACCACCCATCACAACAAACTGCTTGCGATCAGAGAGGTAGGACTTAAACCACTTCAATGCAGAATCAGAAACTCCAAAGATAGTCTCTAAACAGGTGATTAAAATAGAGTGATCTATAGTGTCAAAAGAGCCACTAAGATCAAGAAGAATCAGTATAGATAGACAGCCAGAATCAGAAGCCATTAACAAGCCATTAGTGACCTTAACTAATGGTGTTTCAGTGCTGTGGAGTTTAAGGAATCCAGATTGAAGTGGCTCAAAAAGATCATTAGAGGAAAGATGAGAAAGCAATTGAGAAGCCACTGTTTGTTCTAAAATTTTGGCGAGGAATGGAAGATTAGAGATGGGACGAAAATTATTCAGATTATCAAAGTCCATGTTGTTCGTTTTTGGTACTGGGGTGACAGCAGCAATTTTAAGTGCTGCTGGCACAACACCAGTGCACAGAGAGTCATTGATAATTCTCAAAACAACAGGACAAATGGAATCAAAACACGATTTGAACGTGGCATCGGATTAACTCTGAAAGTCGAAGCTTTAATTTTCGAAACCATATTACAGAGAGACTGGGAGTCATGAATAGCAAAGATGGAGAGAGAAATACCAGAAAATGCAGAAATATTTAAGGAAGAGAGTAGTAATAATATGTTACGTATATTATCAATTTTGGTGCTGAAAAACTGCGAAAACATATTAGAAAGGTGAGTTGAAGCAGGAACATTAGATAGGCTGTGATTTTTAAGCAGCTTGCTGATTGAGTGAAACGGTTGTTTATGGTTTCTCTGATTGCTGACGATTATCTGAGAAAAATAAACAAATCTAGCTAACGCGATTTCAGCCTTATATTCAAGTAAGCGGTCTTTCCAGGCCTGGTGATGAACAGTTAAACCTGATATGTGCCGTCTACGCTCCATTTTACGACACATAGCCTTGACGATGAAGGATTAATAGTCTTTAATTAATCCACAGATAGAGATAAATCCAACATAGAGGAAAGTAATAAACACACGCAAACCATAACACTCACAATACCAGACAAAGACTAAACTGAACAGACCGGAACTTAAAACAAATAGTGAATTCCTTAGTTACTGAGCAGTGTTTTTAGGCTAAATTTTGTCACCCCTTCAATGCTCTGCACTTTTTTTTGCATTGTGGCTGATTTGTAAATTGTACATACAAAAAACATCTTTGTATTTTTGTATTTTTCCCTTTAATTTCCTATGCGGGTCATTTTTTGACCGCAAACAACACAAGTGTGACTTTTTTCAAACATAGTGACTGTCATAAAAGTAGCGATTTCTTACATTTCCAAAAAAATTTTTTTTTGGTGTAAAATGAGTGAACAACAACAGAGGGTTAATAGCAGGAGCTGGGAGAGTGAGAGCAGAAATCCAGCGGCGCGGCCCGGATAAAGTCATTGCGCTTGTTAAATTGGCTGTAGTAGCCTTGGGTCTCATTATCAGAGTTTTTCAGGAACTTCTCAATATTTCATGCATAGCGCCCCTCCTATATATCAATATGTGTGAATGCCATTACAACTCCACTTAATATTTTAATTGCTTCCCACGAACAGAGGGTGAGCCAAATTGCTTTGGTATCCCGGAGGCTTCGGCGGTAATGAGATCCGCACCCTCCGCCTGTTTGGAAGGTCCTGACCTGACATTCGTCTCTGGGCTGTTATTGAGGGACAGGCGACCGGAGGGCGTCTGTGGTAAACGCCGAGTTCGGACGCCCACAGAGCCACTGCTCTAGAGCTAAAGAGCAGTGAAAGATCTCGCTCTGTGATCCTGATTCTCACCGCTTTCCAGAATGAGAGACAGAAACCAGCTCTAATAAGTGAACTGCATTTCCCAGAATGCATCAGCGGCGTTACCTGCTGTGAATTAGAATTCTTCTTCCTCCCATTCCAGATCAAATCCCAACTCCCCTTCCTGTCTTTTGTGGCCAATGCAGGAACTGAACGGAGCTGATTCTTTAGCTGTATTTTGTCATGTTTCTCATCATGTTACTTGAAAAGATGCAGTGCTTTACAAACAGCCGAGCTGCTGCCATGCTCCTGTAGTTACAGTGAGTTAGCAGCGGTGATAGTCTGAGTTAACAGTGCGTTAGCAGCGGTGATAGTGTGAGTTAACAGTGAGTTAGCAGCGGTGATAGTGTGAGTTAACAGTGAGTTAGCAGCGGTGATAGTGTGAGTTAACAGTGAGTTAGCAGCGGGGATAATGTGAGTTAACAGTGAGTTAGCAGCGGTGATAGTGTGAGTTAACAGCGTTAGCAGCGGTGATAGTGTGAGTTAACAGTGAGTTAGCAGCGGTGATAGTGTGAGTTAACAGAGAGGATAGAGTGAGGTAAGAGTGAGTTAAC